CTACTCGGGAGGCTGAGGGAGGAGAATTGCTTGAACTCAGGAGGCAGAGTTTGTAGTGAGGCCAGATCGTGCCACTCCAGCCTAAGCGGCAGAGTAAGACTCCATCCGTCTCAAAAAGGAAGGGAGGAAGGAAGGGAGGGAGGGAGGGAAGAAGGGAGCGAGGAAAAGAAGGAAGAAGACATAGAGGAAAAGCTTCTTGACATTGGACTGAGCAGAAAGAAAGAGAAAGAAAGGAAAAAGGAAGGAGGAAAGAAAGGAAGGAAGGAAAACATAGGGGAAAAGCTTCTTGACATTGGACTGAGCAGATATTTTGAAACCCGAAAGCATAGACAATAGAAACAAAAACAAATGGGATTGCATCAATCTTCTGCCTAGCAAAAGCAACAATCAGCAGGGTGCAGAGACAACCTACAGAATGGGAGAAAATATTTGTGAACTATAAGTCTGATAAGGGGATTAATATTATTAAATTTGTAAGGAACTCAATTCAATAGCCAGAAAACATGTCAGGACTGGTGGCTCATGCCTATCTATAATCCCAACACTTTGGGAGGCCAAAGTGGGAGGATCACTTGAGTTCAGGAGTTTGAGACCAGCCTGGGCAATATATTGAGACCTCATCTCCACAGAAAAATTTTTTACAATTAGCTGAGTGTGATGACACATGCCACTAGTCCTAGCTACCCACAAGGCTGAGGTGGAAGGATTGCTTGAGTCCAGGAGTTAAAGGCTGCAGTGAGCTGTGATCACAACGGTGTACTCCAGGCTAAGCAACAGAGTAAGATGCTGCCTCTAAAAAAAAAAATAAAGTAAAAATAAATAAATAGCAAGAAAACAAATAACCCAATTTTTTTAAAATAGACTGAGAACCTGAAAAGACACTGCACCCACACAAAAAGACCAAATGGCCAGCAAGTATATTTAAAAATGTTCAATATCACCAATCATCAGGAAAATGCATATTACAACCACAATGAGATATCACTTCACAGCCATTAGGATGGCTGATATAAAAAAAGACAAAATAAGTGTTGGCAATGCTGTAGAGAAAAGGGAACCTTTCTATACTGTTGGTGGGAATGTAAATTAGTACAGCCATTATGGAAAACAGTATGGAGGTTTGTCAAAAACTAAAAATAGAACTATGTGATCAGCAATCCTGCTTCTGAGGACATATCCAAAGGAAAGAAAAATCAATCTACTACAGAGATACCTGGCTCCAGTGTTCATTGCAGCATTAGTGACAATTGCCAAGATACAGAAACAACCAAAGTGTCTGTTGGCACATGAAGTGGATACAGAAAATGTGGTGTATATACAGAGTGGAATACTGTTCTGCCTTTAAAAAGAAGGAAATCCTGTCATTTGTGACAACATGGATGAACCTGGATGACATTATGTTAAATGAAGTAAACCAGGCATAGAAAGGCAAATACTGCATGATCAAATCTCAAAAGGTCAAACGGAAAGCGTGAAGTAGAGGGGTATTACCTGAGGATGGAGGGATTGAAGACATGGTGGTCAACTGATAATAAAATTTCAATCTAGAAGAAGTATCTTCACGAGATGTATTGTATAACATGGCAACTAGAGTTAATGACAGTGTATTGTACACTTGAAAATTGCTGAGAACAGATTGTAAAGGTTCTCCTCTCTCTCTCTCTCTCTCTCTCTCTCTCTCTCTCTCTCTCTCACACACACACACACACACACACACACACACACACACACACACACATTTTTGATAATAAAGTTTTGGCCCTTCAAAGCTCAGTGTGAGTATGTTTAATGTTATTGAATTGTCTTGGTATTTGAAAGTATCAGCAGTTTTAAGTTATTGAGGATTAAGGAATAAAGTTACTAGTGGTCTATATAGCTGCTGCCTCATGTTTCACCTTTTTAAAAGTACCGAGTGCTACCCCAAAATCCCCTTTCTGTGCTGCCTAGAAACCTACATGAATTGACATTTAATTAAGCACCAGAAACATTTACTGAGCACCTACCTTGTAAGGAAACTTAAAGATGAAAAATCCCAGATTCCGCCGGGCGCGGTGGCTCACGCCTGTAATCCTAGCACTTTGGGAGGCCAAGGCGGGTGGATCACGAGGTCAAGAGATCGAGACCATCCTGATCAACATGGTGAAACCCCATCTCTACTAAAAATACAAAAAATTAGCTGGGCATGGTGGCGCGTGCCTGTAATCCCAGCTACTCAGGAGGCTGAGGCAGGAGAATTGCCTGAACCCAGGAGGCGGAGGTTGCGGTGAGCCCGAGATTGCGCCATTGCACTCCAGCCTGGGTAACAAGAGCGAAACTCCGACTCAAAAAAAATAATAATAAATAAATAAATAAATAAATAAATAAAAAGAAAAATCCCAGATTCCTTAAGGCAAATCTTAAGGTCATAATATCAGAATTTTATGTTAATGCCAAAAGGGCCATATAAGCACACTCATTTGGAAATGTTTTCCAAAATAAAATTTTAGATTTTTTAGAAATAAACAAATGAACAAAAATGGAGCCCAATGTAGCAGTTGTGGGATTTGTCCTAATCCCTATGTCAAGGAAAATTTATAAAGTTTGAGGCTTTTAGAAACAGAAAAGAGTAAGCATAAATTGAGCATTTAACTCAAAAATCTTTTTTTAGAAAATCAAAAGAATAAGGAATTGTTAAAAGCAGAAAGTAATACCATTAAATGTAATAGACTTATCGATAATGTTAAAACTACTTTGGTAAAGACTGATAGACTTTTAGCAAGTCTTGAGCAAGAAACAAGATGATACCAATAACCTTTAGAATAAGAAAGGGGATATTGCTGCAAATAATAATTTTACTTTTACTCATAACGAAGGACTTCCAGTCAAGTGGGCAGGATATACACATGTGTAACCCCCCTGTACTCTAGATGCATAGACATGATCAACACATCTCTTGAAGTTACTCCTCCTAAACTGAGATTAAAAACTGAGATTAAGAAATTTTACGTGTGTGCGTGTGTGTGTGTGTGTATGTGTGTGTGTGTCTCTCTCTCTCTCTCTCTCTCTCTCTCTCTCTCTCTCTCTCTCTTTCTCTCTCTCAATATGAGCCTGGGCAATATAGTGAGACCCCATGTCTATGAAAAACAGACAAAAATAAACTTAGCTGGTCATGGTGGCATGTGCCTATAGTTCCAGCTACTCAGGAGGCTAAGGCAGGAGGATCACTTGAGTCCAGGAGTTTGAGGCCCCAATGAGCTATGATTATGCCACTGCACTTCCAGCCTGGGTAACAGTGAAATCCCAACTCTCTCTGTGTAAATACTTATATAATATCTAAGAGGAAGATGTCTTTAGATCTAAAGAAGAGGGAACAAAGTCGTAATAGGATTTGAATCCAAGAGAATCACAAGAATTAAGAACCCAAAAGGGTAGTAAAGATAAGTTTCAAAAGTTCTCAAGGAGGAAACTCCTGGTCCCTATATCAGGCTTGAATTAAGGGTTACTTTTTATAGTAAGGTTAAGAAAGGAAAGTGGCTTATGTAGGTTTTGTTATTTCTTTTGTGGTTATCATTGCATAACAAACTACCCTGAAGCTTAGTGGCTTAAAAGAACAACAGTACATTTTTTCTCATAATGAATTGGATGGCTCTGCTTTACATGGTGTCAGTTTCGGGTACTGGAAAAGTTTGGGAAGTCCACATAGCCTTATTCACATGGCTGATAGTTGGTGCTGACTGCTGGGTAGGAGTGTAGCTGAGGCTTTTGGCTGATGTCTTTGGTTCTCCTTTGTTTAGATCTCCCTGTAGACTGAGTTTTCCTCATGTTATAGCTGCTGGGTTCTAAAGAAAATACATTCTAAGACAAAGGCAAATACTACCAGGCATCAGATGACCTAGCCTCTGAAATCATATAGCATCATTTGTGCCACATTTATTTTTTGCTAGTCACAGAACTTGCCTAGATCTAATGGGAGAGGAAAGAGACGCCTTTTGATGGTAGCGTGATTTAGTCATATTGCAAAAGGATGTCTGGAATGGAAGATGTGAGGCATCTTCAGAAATATAATTTATCACACTCCCCATTTGATTTAGATATTTTGCTCAGCCTCATATCATTAGAAATTTTAAAGCAAGGGTTCAAATCCATGTTCATCTGATTCCAGTGACTTGTTTCACTAGTGGCCTTTACTGTAGAAGTTAACTTCTTTCAGGCGAGACTAGGAAATAAATTGGAAGGAGATAAATTGTGAGCAAGTTATCTTGAATGGTGACTCTGATTTTGACACAAAACATGTAGTGAAATTTGTGACCAAAGAAGCACAAAAGTTCCAGATATAGAAGTGGAAAGTTGCAGAATATGTAATGGAAAGAGCAAGTCATTCAGACTGGATGGTATGTAAGGTTTATGAAGGTGAAGAATGAAGGTGAGTGGTACACTGGGGTCAGTTCATTCAGAGACTTGATTACCAGACTATAGAGTTTGGATATTTTTAGGAAGGGAAAGTTTTGAAAGTTTTAGAGGAAGTGTGTGAGGGCTTTAAAAAGATCCTGTTTAAAACACAGTGACTTGGGCAATAGGGAATACTAATCTAAGCAATTAGGCAGACTGCATTAACAGTATTCCATTCCAGAGGAAATTTAACAAGGCCTGAAGAAAGGTATTAGAAATGAGAGTGAAGAGGTGATGATTTTCAGAAAAATTAAAGTGTTCAAATCTGGAAGAGTTGGCAACTGATTAGATATGTGGATCAAGGCGGAGAAGGATCAGAGGTCAAAACTATTAAAAGCTGATATACCCTTCCTGGATTTGAAAGTCATGATACCACGAATGTTGTCAACTCATTAATCACATTTGTATTGCATTCCTTGAAAATCTTCCCCAGAATTATTAAAATGAAGCTATTTTGTTTGATTACTGTTGCATTTAACAGGTTTTCCTTAATAAATCATAGAAAAATATTGTCTTGCCATTTTATATTTTACACTCGTAAGTTTCTGAGCTGTTTCTTTTTTTCCCTGTAGGTTAATGGCACAGATGCAGATTACGAATATGAAGAAATCACACTTGAAAGGGTAAAAACTATTATCTTAATCTGTTGTTTTAAAGAACTTTGCATATTGCAAATTGCATATACTGCTTTTTCATATAGAATCCAAGGGAGATCTTTCAAAAACGGAACTATATAATATTTTCTAAGTTCCCAGTTCATAAAATTGGCCAAGACATTTTCAAAACATGTTCCTTTGCTTTAGTAACCTTATTTTATTTTTTTAAGTAAACTTTTTATTTTAAAATAGTTTAGATTTACAAAGAAGTTGTAAAGATTGTCCCAAGAGTTTCCATTTACCCTGGACTCAGCCCCCTCTATTGTAACATCTTACATTCCTAAAGTATGTTTGTTTCAACTAATAAGCCTATATTCATACATTATTATTAACTGAAGTCTCTGTTTCCTTACATTTTATGTTATTCTCTTCCAGAGGCCCATCCAGGACACCACATTACGTTTAGTTATCCTGTCACCTTAGACCCCTCTAGATTGTAATAGTTTCTCAGATTTTTCTTGTTTTTTTAATTTTGTTTTTATTGTTTATATGTACATGATAATGAAATATTGTTCATATTAACTAAGGAGTATACTAGTAAACATGGTCATTGTGTCAGTTTTCTTTTCTAGCAAAATAACATAGTTCCAACAGACAAAACTGTATTAAAAACTTATTATCGTGTACTCCCCCAATCAGAAAATGACTTAAGCATGCAATGTGTAAATTTTCTTAAGATATGTTTTCTCCTTAATATCTGCATTCAGGCCAGGTATGCTGGCTCATGCCTGTAATCCCAGCACTTTGGGAGGCCAAGGTGGGTGGATCACTTGAGGCCAGGAGTTCAAGACCATCCTGGCCAACATGGCTAAACCCCATCTCTACTAAAAAACAAAAATTAGCCTGGTGTGGTGGGGCATACCTGTAATCCCAGCTACTTGAGTCAGGAGAATCACTTGAACTCAGGAGGTGGAGGCTGCAGTGAGCCAAGATTGCGTCACTGCACTCCAGCCTGGGCGACAGAGTGAGGCTTCATCTCAAAAAAAAAAAAAAAGAATATTTGCATTCAGTTTTTATTGTATGTTATAATAGTAATGCCACCTTATCTAGCTAGCATTTTATGGAAACTTAGTGTTCCACACAAGCAGATTTCTTAAGTAAGTACATGTCTGTATATTCAAGGCTAAAATCCCAGATAATTAGATTTGTGTTGGAATCCAAGAAAAATAAATCTGAAAGAATCTTTTACATGTGTATCTTTATTGTCTTTTACTTAAATTCGGATCACCTGCTCAAGTTAGGTGGCTACTGGAGTAACATTCAAGTAAGCACAGTATTCATGTACTGTACATATTTTAATGTAGTAGTTTGTGATGTCTTCTTTTTATTTTATTCATTTTTTTATCCTTTCCCAGGGCCTTTTAAATTCCTTTTGTTTAGTCAGAACTATACATTGTATTCTTCACTGGTTGAAGAACTTGAGTACCTAAGTAACTTGGTAACCTCCCGTCATCCACTGATACTGTTGTTAAGATTCAGGTAATTCATGAAGTTAGATTGAAAAACATTTTTTTAATTAAGATAGAATTTTAAGACAAATGGTGGTAGAGTGAGTGATTACACTATTTAATACTAACAGTTAAATAATAGGTCCAGGTACATTTGCTTACCTGAAATCCAGTTGAGTTGCCTGAAATCCAGTTAGAACATTCTTGCAGATATAAACATTTTTTAATCCCATTGCTTAAATCAATTATTTTTGAAGACTTTTTGTGGCAGTTGAAACCTTTCTGTGACGCAGAAATCCAGCTTCTCCATTTCATAAAACAAGAAAAAGTAGAGCTGCTTTGGCAAGATTTACTTTACTATCAAGAAAATTCACCAATGTTAAGTTCTCAGGTTGGACTTTCGGTATTAAAAAATACCTTTTGCTAATCAGGTATATTGGTTAAACATATCAAGGATTGAGGCAGCTATCACATAGCATCTACAATTTGGTCATTTAAAAATAAGCTGATGGCAAGTTAGCAGAGGAAAAACACCACCGCCTCCCCCTTTTTTAAAAGCTAAAATAATATGTTGATTTTACCTGTTCAGAAATAACAGAGGAAAATCTCTTTAGCATTTGTCTTTTAATAGAGATGTGCCCTACCAAGCATGGCTGAGGTGCAGTCTAAAAGAAACAGACTTATAGTGACATCTCTGCAGATGGGCGACTAATCCAAGGACAAGCTGCACATACTTTTAAAGAAAGAACTGTGCAGTAGACTTCAAAAGTCCTTGGTATGTTTTCTTGAACCTCACCTGCTTGGCAGGTAATGCCTCCGAAGGACTTTACTTTAGAACATGTCCATTTAGTATAGAATCTTTATATTACACATATACCTTTACTTGTTGTGTTCCTTACATTATTACAGTCTGCATCCTTTAATGACAGGAAACTGTCAACAAAGATAAATCATACTCATGTCAATTTATTTTCTTCTATCCTCAGGGAAATTCAGGGCTTGGTTTTAGCATTGCAGGAGGTACGGACAACCCACACATTGGAGATGACTCAAGTATTTTCATTACCAAAATTATCACAGGGGGAGCAGCTGCCCAAGATGGAAGACTGCGGTATGCTTTGCACTTTGTATTATGATGCTGAATCTACTTTGTGTATTTTTCTTGAAGCAGACTGGACAAGGGATAAATAGAAATAAGAAACACTATCATAGTAGTTAACATAGGGTAGATGCTTTAACAACATGCAAATCAGTGAATGAGATAATTATGTCTAAGCATTGTTTTCCTGTTTTCATTTAGGAGTCCAGTTTTTTTTATCTTAGATATTATAACATTTTGAATAATAAATTTGATTGATGGTTGAAATGTTTGTGAGCATATTTATAGAAATCATGAGTTTCCCTTTGTATCTTCAAATACGCTCACAAAATATTTTCCGTTTCCTCTCTGGTTGAGAAGCACGTATGTAAACTTACTTAAGAAATGGAGGATAGAAGATCACACATCCATGTTGTATCCCACACCACAAAGAGTAAAGTATATGCAAACTTTAAATAGTATATTTTCTTAATTGAATAGATGAAAATAACATTTGTCTCTGTTTAAATTTAGCGTTCCATTTTGGAAGATATATTTTGCAAACTTTGGTTTCTTGGTGGGGAGGGTCATAAATTATGGCATTTTTCCTATTTCCTTGTTTGTTAAAATAGCGTGAAGTTTTAGGACAAAAGAGTTTATATAGTCGGTTAAAAACAGCATCTTATTTTAAGGCTGTTGGTACATTAGGCAGTTTTTCAGTTTCTAAGCTTCTCACTGGATATGACAGGTGGTATATTAATGAAATAAAATAGATATTAAAATTAATCATTTGACCATTCATGTAAATATAGACATTTACTTCCTGATTCTGTTAATTAGATATAGAAATTTGTCAGGACCAGTTTTAATATTTTAATTATGTTTTATTTACCCTTTCTATCCAATTTGAGATGACCGTCTTTTTTTCCAGATGAAATACCATATAATCACAGAGACCAGAACTAGGGAAAAGGCTAAGACTAGGAACAAACCAAACTTTTAAAAAACATGATACCATGGCAAATTATAAGTTCTTTACCTAAGAAACCTTTGAACTAAGTGACCTAATCTTCAACTTTATACAAATTTCAAAAAATAACTTTGTTCTTTCAAGTCTAGTATGTAGGTTGGAAATGGCACTCAAAAAATTATTTTTAGTTTATCTCAGCTTTCACACTGTCTCTGTGATCTTAAACTCATTACGCAGACTATTTGAGTATCAATTTTCTTATCTTTGAATCACAGCTCTGTCACTTATTATCTGGGTGGCCTTAGGAAAGTTATTTAAATTCTTTGTGCTTCAGTTTCTCCATCAGTAAAATAGGGTTTAAAATATATATTTAGCTTACAGGTGTCATGAGGGTTAAAACACCAAGAAAGTGCCTGGCATGTGGTTAGCACTAAATAAATGTTTGCTATTTTCATAAAGTGTATCTTAATGCCTACACAGAATAAGCATGCAATAAGCATAAACATGGTAGCTATAATTATTATTTAATAATTTTGTATAATCTGTTATTTGCACTATTTTTTGTTGTTGTTGTTCCTTTTCCTGCCCCTTGGGAAATATTTGTATTTGTTTGATATATTTTCTTCATTTATGTTTTTTGGAATTACTCCAGAATTATTTATAATTCTTGTTACCTTAAAAATAAAAGTAACAAAAAGTTAGTAAAGTGGAAAATTAATATTTAAAATTATATTTAATTTTATTTTTAATATTTAATTGTTTTCTCAGGGTCAACGACTGTATATTACGAGTAAACGAAGTAGATGTTCGTGATGTAACACATAGCAAAGCAGTTGAAGCATTGAAAGAAGCAGGGTCTATCGTACGCTTGTATGTAAAAAGACGGAAACCAGTATCAGAAAAAATAATGGAAATAAAGCTCATTAAAGGTCCTAAAGGTATGTGGTAAGTCAAACTAAGATAAATCTTTAAGTAAGAAATCTCTGAGTTAAATATACCTATGAACTTTATCTGTGACATACATTCCAAGGTTAACAATATTAGTAATATTCTACAGAACTTTAATTACTCTGTTATCTCTACTGATTTTCATCTTAAATAGAATTTTAGAATATTTGTATTTCTACCAAGATTGCAGTATTTGAAAAGTTCCTTTGCCTTGGGTTTTTTTGTTTGTTTGTTCTTTGAGGCAGGGTTTTGCCCTGTCACCCTGGCTGGAGTGCAGTGGTGCAATCATGGCTTACTGCAGCCTCAATATCCCAAGCTCAATTAGTCCTCCCAAGGAGCATTGACTACATGCATGCACCACCACACTGAGCTGATATTTTTATTTTTTGTAGAGATAGAGTTCTCCCTGCATTGCCTAGGCTAGTCTCAAACTCTTTGGCTCAAGCAGTTCTCTCCCCTCAGCTCCCCAGATTGCTGATATTTCAAGTGTGAGCCACTGCACCTAGCCCAAAGTTCTTACGTTTATACGTATTTTTATACATTTTACTGCTGTGAGCATATATATAAATTTATGTTTTATACAATTTTTATATTCAGTATTTGCTTAGCATATTTTTAAGAGTTTTTAAAAGTAGGGAACAAAATCTGTACTTGTTTTATAAGTAGATTTATTCCGGTTTATATTAAATATTACTATATTGAAGACCTTGCATTAAAAGAGTGAAATATTTGTGTTCTTGAACCCTTTGAAGTTAAGTATAGTATTGATATTAACTTTTGATAATTAATCTACAAAGTACTTTAAATGCAGATACACGGGCTATGTTAAGAAGTGTTTATAATATGTATTATGAGCAGTTACATCTGTAGTAAAGGACTATTAAGATGAGATTTCTGAATTTTGAAAACATTGATGGATTGAGGATAATTGGAAATATTAGTTTCAATATGTGGCTTCATGGAAGAGGGAAGATTTCATGAACAAGGAATGGAGAGCTGAGAAATTATCTGATATTGAAGCTATGGGATTTAAGAATTACAGAAAGTCCTTACTTAAAATTGTTAATTCATAGAATGTTGAAAAAGGAACAAAAGTATTCACATTTTTTAAGCCTGTTGGTTCTGCCCACCACCGCTTATTTTTTTTAATTATTTTATTATTGTGAAAATATTAAAAGTGTAGCTAAGAAACATAATTATGATGGAAACAAAAGTAAAACATAATTTTGCAATGTCACTTGGGAATAACAAGTGCATTTGCAAAAACATATTAAGAAGGAGCCCGAGGGATAAAAGGAATCTATTTGTAACTATAGGAGCAGCCATATTTATAAATGTCCCTTGATTCTAGAACATATACTAGCAGATAGCTAAATAGATCCTTTTCTATTTCAAAAAATAATAGTGTGGTGGAACTATTACCTTCTAGTTTTCAACCATTTCTTTCTGAGCTTAAGTTCATATTTATGGATAAGAATCTAAAACTAGTGTTTTCCAAACAGGTCTTGGGTTCAGCATTGCTGGAGGTGTTGGAAATCAGCATATTCCTGGGGATAATAGCATCTATGTAACCAAAATAATTGAAGGAGGTGCAGCGCATAAGGATGGCAAACTTCAGATTGGAGATAAACTTCTAGCAGTAAGTATAAGAAACGTGTTGTCTTTTAAATCATTTTGTTGTCTGTGTTTTTCTAATAGATATTGGAATTTCCACATACCAAAAAGGTCTAAATGATGTTTAAATTAGTACATACTAGCCTTGCTGTATCAAATCCTAAAAGTGATTCTTGGTAGTATCTTTATTTGTCATTTCTGTTTTCTCTGCCGCTCCTCCTCCTTTTTCCTTTTATTCCTTTGTTGTTCTTGAAGTGTTGAGGGCTTATATGCACAGAAGTGTTTCATTATTATCCTTAGGTTTATAAAACAACATCATCATTTGTTTATGCATGACCCTTTTTTGTGTTACTTCAATTAATGATATAATGAATTACCCAGTGCAAGAATTAGAACATCAACCATTTTGTGTTTCTTATTCCTTTGCTTCTTTTTTTTTGAGAGAAAGAATTTTATTCTTGTTGCCTAGGTTGGAGTGCAATGGCACCATCTTGGCTCACCGCAGTCTCTGCCTCCTGGTTTCAAGCGATTCTCCCAAGTAGCTGGGATTACAGGCATGCGCCACCACGCCTGGCAAATTTTGTATTTTTTGTAGAGATAGGGTTTCTCCATGTTGGTCAAATTGGTCTCAAACTCCCAACCTCAGGTGATGCAACCACCTCAGCCTCCCAAAGTGTCCTTTGCTTCTTAAAAATTATTAAATCAGGCCATGTATGGTGGCTCACACCTGTCTATAATCTTAGCACTGGGAGGAGGAGGTAGGCAGATTGCTTGAGCCCAGGAGTTTAAGACCAACCTGCACAGCACTGCAAAACCCTGTCTCTACAAAAAATACAGAAATTAGCCAGGCGTGGTGATATACACCTGTAGTCCCAGCTTCTTGGGATGCTAAGGTGGGAAGATCACCTGAGCCCAAGAGGTCAAGGTTACAGTGAGCTATGATTGTGCCACTGTACTCCAGCCTGGGTGACAGAGTGAGAGCCCATCTCAAAGGGAAAAAAAACAAAACAAAAAATTTAATTACAAACATATGCCTAAATATTTTGTTTAGTATTAATTGTTTTGAAGCTTTTTCAAAATGCTATTGCACTATATCGAGACTTTCAGTATTTTTTTTCACTCAGTATTGTTTTACTGAGACCCCATATCATTGCTTAATGATATATAGGTCTCAGTAAACACTAAAGTTCAATCATTTTATCTCTACATAATATTCCACTGTATGACTGTACTTCAATTTATTTGTCCAGTCTTCATCAATGTATTAGTTTGTTTTCACACTGCTGCAAAGAATTACCCGAGACTGGGTAATTTATAAAGGAAAGAGTTTAATTGACTCACGGTTCTCCATGGCTGGTAAGGCCTCGGGAAGCTTAGAATCATGGAGGCGGTGGGGTTGGCAGTGGGGAGGGGGGAACAAACACGCCCTTCTTCACATTCCAGCAAGAGAGAGAAGTGCCAGCAAGGGAAATGGCAGATGCTTATCAAACCATCAAATCTTGTGAGAGTCACTCACTATCACAAGAATATCATGGGGGAGCCACTAATCACCTCCTGCAAGGTCCCGTCCCTAACATGGGTATTACAATTCAAGATGACATTTGGGTGGGGACACAGAGACAGACCATATCAATCAATAACTGTCTCAGTCCATGTTCCTTAGGAAAACGGAATCTGAAGAAAAGCTAATGTGCTAAGGTGTTATTGGGAGATGTGATCTCAAGAAAACTAGAGTTAGTAAAAATGAAAAGTGAAGCAGAGAATGAATGAGAGCCAACAAAAGGTAGAATGTTTCTGGCTATAATTTTATAAGGTAGCCTGTTGCTTGTCATGTAGAACAGTCTACCAGGCAGACACTGTAGAACACCATCCAGCCATCATAAACCTTAAATCCAGCCATCCAGAGGAAAAAAAGATGGGTTTATCTGCTGGCCCCTTTTATTCTCCTTTCTCTTGTATAACCCCTAGGGTTGCAGTGGTATAGGCAGGTCAGACATAGGTTTGTGACTTGTTATGGCCCTCACTGTGTGGAGCACGTCATGGAAAACTGGGAAGGGCCATGCCCAGTCCCAGCTAGAAGTGGCTGAGAAAACTGGGAAGGGTAAGAGACAAGACGCAGGTAGCAGGAGTCAGGACTCTCCACTGAGCAAGCAGCCAACGCCTAGCAGAACCTGAAAAGACACATCAGCTGGGTCTGGCATAGTAGTAAGTTGGTTTTAAAAAAATCTAGGAAGTACTGGTTTTAAAAAATCTATTTTAAGTCACATTCTTTTTTTTGGGGGGGGGGTATTGTGAATAATTTTCCTAGGAATACCTGCTGTGTGTTCTGGTGAGCATGACTGTCTACCTAAGCATGGAATTTACTGGATCATTGATTATCCTACTAGTAGCATTCTTTGTAAAAAAAAAAAAAAAAAAAAAAAAAAAAAAACTGTCCTGTTGTTTTCCAGGCTGCTTGTAAAAATTTACAACAACAATATAGAAAAGATTCCTTCGTCCTACATCTTGTTCATTACTGTTTATTGTTGCAAGGAGATTGTTTTTTTTAGTTAATGATGAGGAAAAGGAAAGAGCAGAACTTGAACTACATTTCTGTAACTTATCCTTTCACAGATAATCACCACTCTTGCCTCAAATTATAACCAGCACCATCTCACCACCACTCACACACAAACACTGAGTTAAGAGAGCCTTCTCTCTCCACTTGTTTTTTCTCACTTTCACTTTTTAATTTCCTGGCTACCTTGTTTTGCTTTATGGTTTCTCTAGAACTGGTTTTGGTGGTAGGAGGCAGCAACTTGTCCTGATACCATTGTGGCAAAACTCATTCTCTCTTAAATCAACTTTAATTGAGGCTTTTGTTCTCATAATTACACTGAAATCATTCAAGTCTTAGTCCTTGTCTTAATTGACTTATCTGGCTGGAATTTGACACATCTTCCTCCTCTTTCTAACGCTTTTTCATTTGCCTAACAGTTACCCTTTATCTTGGTATTTCTCTTCTTAGTAGCCACTCTTCAATCTTCTTTTCTGGTGTCTCCTCATATCCCTAACCTCTAAACATTGAAGTAATCCAGGACTTACTCCTTGTACATTTTCTCCTTTTTATTATTCATTACAAAGGTCACTGTTTTTTAACATGTAGGTCAAGACTCTGGTATGATCAAATAACTTTCCTCTAGTCTAAAACGTTGGGATCATCATCTTTCTTTCACATTCCACATTGAATCCCTCTGTAAATTGTGTCAGCTCTTATATGTTATTTAGTGATATGTGAAAATGCACAAAGATTAATGGCTAAAAAGACATTACTCATGTATTTGTTTAGGATAGGGCTTGGCAGAAACAGCTTGTCTTTGCTTTTCTAGGCTGCAAAATCCACTGCTAGATTGGCTCACACACATGGTGGGCAAGTTGGCGCTCAGCTGGGAATTCAGCTGGGATTGTTAGCCAGGTGCTTAATTCTCCAGTGGCCTCTTTGCATGGCTAGGTTGAATTTCATGCAGGATGGTGGCTAGGTTCCAAAAGCGAACTTTCCAAGAAGACAAGCAACAATGCATTGCTTTTATCAATCCTCTCTCTCCCTCACAATTACTATACCTCATTGGCTAAAGCTAGTTATGTGGCCAAGCAAAATTCAGTTTAGGAAGAGATTTTTACAAGGGTATGAATACCAGGATTCATGGCTTATTGTAGGCAACCAAAGAAACAGTATACAACAGCCATTTAGTATGTATTTCAAATTCATAATATATATATTGCACGGTAATATGGTAATAAATGCTTTACATGGTAATGTGGAACCATAAAAATGTCCATGCTGCTGAGACTCTGCAAAGCAATGTTAATAATCAATGGGGGGAAATTATTCTTTTGTGACCTTCACATTTTTGTGTGAAAAAAAATTAACAGCTGCTATTGTCAATTATAAAGGTACAAATAGGAAAATGAAAAATATATTAATGTTTTAGTACATGTTAATTTAAAACAGAAACATTAATGTTTTATTTCTTTGCAAAAAAAATGTATCAAAGAGAAGAGCAATCTAAAACTAAGGTAAACAGAAGGGTAGAAATAAGATCAGAGTAGAAATTAATGAAATAGGTAATAGGAAAGTCATAGAGAAAATAGACAAAACTGGAAGTTGGTCCTTTGAAAAAAATGAACAAAATGACAAACCTTTAGCCAAGAAAAAAGAGAGAAGGCTCAAATCTCTGAAAGCAAGAATGAAAGAAGGAAAACAAGAGACTATTATGAGTAACTACGTGCTAATACCTTAGGTAACTTAGATGAAATGGACAGATTGCTAGAAGGACACAAACTACCACTTCTAATCAGTGTTATACTTGAGATTCTGTCCAGGGCAGTAAGAAAGGAAAAAGAAAAAAATTCAGATTAGAAATGAAGAAATAAAACTATATTTGCAAATGTCATCATATCATATATAGAATATTCTAAGGAACCTGCTAATAGAACTAATAAATTAGTTTAGTACTGGTTGCAGGATATATCACTACCTAAAAATCAGTTATATTTTATACAGAAGATAGATGAATGGCCAACAAATAATTGAAAAAAAATTTCAACTTGAGTATTAAAAAAGTAGAAATTTAAAATTAATTGACATATAAATTAAAACATGCATCATTTTACAGATTTTTAAAATTAATTGATAATGTTTAATGGCAAAGGTCTAAGTAGACGGGCACTCTCATATTCTGTGGTAGTGAGTATAAAAACCATTTACAAGAACAATTCAGATATCTATGCTCAATTGTGTTCTAATAGTTTTTCAATTTAAATATGGGAATATTAACAGATATATGATAATATTTAATAAATTATGATATAGCCACACAATGCGGTACTGTGCAACCGTTTGTTACAATGTAGTAATTCTATTAATTTGTGTCCCAACATGGAACAGTTTCTAAGGTACCTTACATTCAAAATCCTAATGTAGGGACAAACATTTTAGTATGTTTTCATTTGTTTGGGAAAAAAAAAAAAAGGTCTAAAACATATCTATACACATTCCTAAATGCCTAAAGAGAGAAAAATCAAGACTGGGAGAATAGGAGGGATGGAAGCTGGAATCAAAATGGGCCATTCTGTTAACGTACAACTTCACATGTCATGATAACCAACTTACTGATATCATAGACATCAAACATGGGTATTTTCTTTCCGCATACCTTTATTTTCCTTAAATCACACTCTTATGTTCCCTCTCTTTTTGTGAAATTGTTTGCAAAACTCAGAAAACGAGTGAAAATGTCATAAATGTCTTTTGGGATTTTTTTTTTTAGGTAAATAATGTATGTTTAGAAGAAGTTACTCACGAAGAAGCAGTAACTGCCTTAAAGAACACATCTGATTTTGTTTATTTGAAAGTAGCAAAACCCACAAGTATGTATATGAATGATGGCTATGCACCACCTGATATCACCAACTGTAAGTCTGTTAGCTTATGTTTCCTTAAGCTTATCTTATTTCTTCAGTTGTGATGCTCATTAGTGAAATGGTCTCAGTATAATAAAGTTTAAACATTATAGAAATTTTTTTTTTTTTTTTTTGAGACGGAGTCTGACTCTCACCCATGCTGAAGTGCAGTGGCACAATCTCGGCTCACTGCCACTTCTGCCTCCCGGGTTCAAGCGATTCTCCTGCCTCCACCTCCTGAGTAGCTGGGATTACAGGTGCGCGTCACCACACCTGGCTAATTTTTATATTTTTAGTAGAGACAAGGTTTTACCATGTTGGTCAGGCCAGTCTCAAACTCCTGACCTCGTCATCCACCTGTCTCAGCCTCCCAAAGTGCTGGGGGTTACAGGCATGAGCCATCGTGCCCAACCACATTACGCAAATGTTTTTAAAGAAACTATTAAGCATTTTAATCTACTCGATTTTAAAAATCTATTTCAAGTCAAAATTTTTATAATTAGAAGGGGGGATCCCTTTCACCTTTATTATTTTATAGTAGCAATTACTCTTACATTTAAAGGGTTGATTTTCAAACTTTTATGTAAATAACATCACAAAAGAACATTTACAGATATTGAGATTCTTTTATTATAATAGTTTTCCAATTGAGCACAGAAATTTGCTTTAACAAGCAGCTTATTCTTTTAAAAGCAAAGTACAGGCGTACTTCATTTTATTGTGCTTGTTTTATTGCACTTCACAGAGACTATGTTTTTTACAAATTGAAGGTTTATGACAATCCTGCATTGAACAAATTTATCAGCACCTTTTTTTCTTCAGTAGCATGTCCTCACTTCATGTCTCTTAATGTCTCTGTCACATTTTGGTAAATCTCGCAATATTTCAAACTTATTCATTGTTGTTAATCTACTATAGTAATCTTTGATCACTGGTTTTTGATGTAACTATTTTAATTGTTTTGGAGTACCACAACCACACTTATATAAGACAGCAAGCTTAGTAGATAAATGTGTGTGTTCTGACGACTCCTCTGATGACCAGTTATTCCCGTTTCTCTCCCTCTCCTCGGGCCACACTGTTCCCCAAGATACAGCAATATTGAAATTAGGCCAGTTAATAACTCTACAATGACCTCTAAGTGTTCAAGTGAAAGGACAAGTCTCGTTATTTCTCATTTAAAGTCAGAATGATTAACTTACTGAGGAAGGCATGTCCAATGGCAATAAAGGAAGAAAGCCAGACCTCTTGCTACAGGTAACCAAGTTATGAATGCCCAGGAAAAGTTCTTGAAGGAAATTAAAAGTACTGTTACAGTGAACACACTAATGATAAGAAAGCAAAACAATCTGATTGCTGATATGGACAAATTTTGAACTAGTCTGGATAGATTAAACCAGCCATAACATTCCTTCAAGCCAAAGCCTAATCCAGTACAGGACCCTAACTGTGCTTCAATTCTGAGAAGGCTAAGAGAGGTGAGGAAACCGTAGAAGAGAAATGTGAGGCTAGCGGTGGTTGGTTCATGAGGTTCAAGGAAAGCAGTCATCTCTATAACATGAAAGTGCAAGCTAGGCTGGGTGCGGTGGCTCAGGCTTGTAATCCCAACATTTTGAGAGGCCAAGGTGGGCGGCTTACAAGTTGAAGAGATCGAGACCATCCTGGCCAACATGGTGAAACCCTGTCTCAACTAAAAATACAAAAATTAGCTGGGTGTGGTGATACATGGCTGTAGTCCTACCACTCAGCAGGAGAATCACTTGAACCCAGAAGGTAGAGGTTGCAGTGAGCTGAGATCGTGCCACTCTACTTCAACCTGGCAACAGAGCAAGACTCTACCAAGAAAAAAAAAAAAGAAAAAAAAAAAAAAGTGCAAGGTAAAGCAGCAAATGCTGATGGAGAAGCTGCAGCAGGTTATCCAGAAGATCTAGCTAAGATCATTAATTGAAGTGGCTACACCAAACAGCAGTTTTTCAATGATGAAACAGCCTTCTACTGGCGAAAGATCCCTTCTAGGACTTTCACAGCTACAGAGGATAAGTCAGTGCCTGACTTCAAAGCTTCGAAGTACAGGCTGAGTTTCTTATTAGTTCTGAATGCAGCTGGTGATTTTCAGTTGAAGCCAACGCTCAATTTACCATTCCAGAAATCCAAGAAATTATGCTAAGTTGACTCTGCCTGTGCTTGGTAACTGTAACGAAACCTGTGCTCTGTAACTGTAACAGCAAAGCTTGAATGACAGCGTATCTGAATATTTTAAGCCCGCTGTTGAGACCTACTGCTCAGAAAAAGGCATTCCTTTCAAAATACTACTGCTATTAGACAATGCACCTAGCTGGCCAAGAGCTATGATGGCAATGTGCACGAAGACTGATGTTGTTTTGATGCTTGCTAACTTCTCATTCATTTTGTAATCCATGGATCAAGGAAGAGTTTTAATTTGCAAGTCTTACTATTTAAGAAATACATTTCAGGCTAGGTGCAGTGGCTCATGCCTATAATCCTACCACTTTGGGAGACCGAGGCAGGTGGATCACAAGGTCAGGCGTTTGAGACAGCCTGGCCAACATGGTGAAACCCTGCCTCTACTAAAAATACAAAAAAAATGAGCCAGGTGTGGTGGTGTGTGCCTGTAATCCCAGCTACTCAGGAGACTGAGGCAGAAAGATCACTTGAACCCAGGAGGCTGAAGTTGCAGTGAGCCGAGATCGCACCTCTGCACTCCAGCCTGGCATCAGAGCAAGACTCTGTCTCAAAACAAACAAAAAATACATTTTATAAGGCTATAGCTGCCATAGGTAGTGATTCCTCTGTTGGATCTGGGCAAAGTAAATTGAAAACCTTCTGCAAAGGATTCACCAGTCTAGATGCCATTAAGGACATTCATGATTCATGGGAGGAGGTCACAATACCGACATTAACAGGAATTTGAAAGATGTTGATTCCATCCCTCCTAGATGACTTGGAACAGGTCAAAACTTCAGTGAGGAAGTTACTGCAAATTGGTAGAAATAATAAGAAAACTAGAATTAGGAGTGGAGCCTGAAGATTTGACTGAATTGCTGCAATCTTGTGACAAAACTTTAACAACTAAGGAGTTGCTTCTTATAGATGAGCAAAGAAAGTGGTTTCTTGAGATGGAATCCACTCCTGGTAGGGGGAGATGCTGTGAACATTGTTGAAATGGCAACAAAAGATTTTGGAATATTACATAAACTAAGTTGATACAGTAGTGGCAAGGTTAGAGAGAATTCACTTCAATTCAAGAAGTTCTGCTGTGGGTAAAATGCTATCAGAGCATCACGTGCTTCAGAGAAATCATTTATGAGAGGAGGAGACAATGGATGTAGCCAACTGCATTTTTGTCTTATTTTAAGAAATTAACATGGGTACGCCACCCTTCAACAACTCCCACCCTCAATGTCAAGGCGTGAGACCCTCTACCAGCAAAAACATTACAACTTGCTGAAGGCTCAGATGATTGTGAGCATTTTTTTAGCAGTAAAGTATTTTTAAATTAAGTCTTGTACGTTGTATTTTTAGATATATGCTATTTCTTAATATAATGTGAACATAACCATGCACTGGGAAACCAAAAAAATTCATATGATGGGCTTTATTGAGAATTTACTTTATGCATTGGTGTGGAGCTGTAGTATCTCTGAGGTATGCCTGTAATGCTGATGTTTCTGGTGCTGCTACTTTGTGGCCTGCACTTTGAGAAACACTGATTTACAGTATATCTAAAACTTAAGGGATTTTCTGTGCTCTTAGCTACATGAGGAAAGATACTATTTATCTTTGTACTTTAAGGCACTAGTGCTTATATTTCTATGCAGTTGAATTGTGTTGCAGTTGATTGAATTGTTCTTAAAGTACTTAGGTATTTTTAGGCCTCTTATTTTATATTCCTACTTTATATTCAGTTTTTTAAATGTGTAAGCTGAGAAGAGATTTAAGTATATTTTTTAATGTGTTTGTGTTGGTGGAAAAATGAAAGCTGTATTTGTTCTTTGCATTGAGTTAATGTTTGAAGAACCCATAAATAATAAAGATCTAAAATGTACTATGTATAATCTGCTTTTGAGTGTTCCTTTTTTAAATTGTAGAATTTTAGAAATATTTGTGATTTTTACAATAACAGTGTTTGCAATTTTAGAACTGTAAAGATTCATCATATTACTAATCATTATAAGTGAAAAACATATTTTGAAATCTACATACTGCCCCCCCAATAATGTGTCTGCATTATCTGCTCATTGATTTATTACTTAGTCAAGTATAACTGAATTATTTCCTTAATAGTATTTAACCTGTCTGATGTACAGGAATGGTGTCTTATACTTCTTTTGTGTCAAAGAAAAGAACCTTGCTACTTATTTGAAATTTTTACATGTACTTTCTCTTGCACATAAACTTTATATAAAGGATTTGTGTATTTTTTAAATAATAAGCCATTCATCGATGCATGTATCTTATTTTAAATGCTGCCTGCCTAATAACCGTGTGCACATTGTGACAGTTGTTCCATAAATTGAGTATTAGTGCCCTGATTGTGGTTATGTTCCTTTTTTTCCAATCTGTTATTGACTAATAGAGCATTATGAAAAAGCTGAAGTTCACCTTGCAAGTTCAACTTTATTATAATGTTTTGCTTCTCTTCCCTTTTTAGGCAACTGTAGTTGGTGGTTTTGTTGTACACTTCTAGTTCGTGTTTATTCTGCATATGCAATTCATAAACAATTCATTCGTGTTTTTTAAAAAGCACTTGTGTTTAAAATTTTTTTACATAAATGATTTTTACTTATTTGTTCTTCTGAAGCCCTCACTATCACCCTGCTGTCAGACTATTCAACTTACTATCTGTCCCTGTTTGTGGTGATCTAGTATTCTCCTCATCAATCTGGCTTTAGTCACTGAAGACTTTAGTACCAAGGCCCATTGTCATTTTGCCAGTATTACTCATGCTGTCATTCTTAACTCATGTCCAAAAACCACACTAATGATTATTC